GCATATTGAGAGCCAGTGGTTGCCAGATTGGAGGGTTTATTTACCAGCCTGGGCATAAGGCTGTTGCATAAGGCTGTTGCTCACTGATGGTGTGGAGCCAATTAAATTTGGGATCAATATTTCCTCTATCCACCAGAGCTCTGCTGCTTCTTTCTTTCTGCTGCATGCACTGGTCGGTCTCTCTTTTCTCTCTCTTTTCTCTCTCTCTCTCTCTCTCTCTCTCTCTCTCTCTCTCTCTCTCTCTCTCTCTCTCTCTCTCTCTCTCTCTCTCTCTCTCTCTCTCTCTCTCTGAGGTAGCTCTCTCTTTCCCCTCTTTCCTCACATCTCTCCACCTATTTCTCTTTTTTAAAATTACTTTCTCTCTCTCTCTCTCTCTCTGCCTCTCTCACTCTGCATCTACTCCTGAGAGACATACATGATTACTGTATCATATCTGCTTTAGGATGCATCAAGGAGTTGCTAATTTGCAAAGCACTTTTCAAGTCTGTATATCATCCACAGGGATCACATTTCTGCTTGCTTTTAAACTATTATTATGGCAGTGACCATGTATTAGTAACAATGTGGATCGATGGCATTATTAAGCAATTGATACCTGAAGGCAAAAAGTGTGGAGGAGACATGTGAGTGTACATGTATCTATTTGTGTGTGGGTGTGTAGCCTTATTTCTGTTTGTGTGGGTCCAGACAGTGTGATCATGGCTGACTGCTTGTGGTTTCTGAGTGAAGAAGTTGCAGTCATTTTAGTAATCATGTGAGGTAGCTCAGTCAGTGAGTAAGCACAAAATGGATAGAATAACAATATCTTGGGAAATATTCTTATCTTCACACTTTAGCATTTCGCGTGTGTTGGGCTTAAGCCTGGCACTGGAGTATAAGAATCACATTACTTTCTCCAACTAGTGTGCTGGGTACTGAGCTGAGCTGAATCTCGTAGAATTGGTAAACGTTATTCCTGGAAATGTACACTGAGTGTGCAAGAGATTATGGTGTTTTCTGTTTTGCTCTAGGACCACCACAAGCGTCACGGGACTCGTCTGAAGTCGGCACCACCAATCTGCCAACTTCTGTCTGTAGCGTCCGAACAGTTTGGGCTACACACTAATATGTCCCCTCTATGGAAAGGTGGGACTCTCACGAACACGTTTTGCTCTAGGACGCCCACAAGCCTCATAAGACTCGTCTGAAGGTAGCCCGTTACCAGTTAAAAAAATTAATGGAAGTATGCCTTGAAAGTACAAAACATTAGACAGACCAGGTGAATCCAGGTGAAAACTATGATCCCTTATTGATGTCACTTATTAAATCCACTTCAATCAGTGTAGATGAAGAAGGTGAGACAGGTTAAGCCTTGAGACATGGATTGTGTATGTGTGCCATTCAGAGGGTGAATGGGCAAGACAAAATATTTAAGTGTCTTTGAACGGGGTATGGTATTAGGTGCCAGGCGCACCGGTTTGTGTCAAGAACTGCAACGCTGCTGTGTTTTTCACGCTCAACAGTTTCCCGTGTGTATCAAGAATGGTTCACCATCCAACGGACATCCTGCCAACTTGACACAAATGTGGGAAGCATTGGAGTCAACATGGGCCAGCATCCCTGTGGATCACTTTCGACACCTTGTAGAGTCCATACCCCGATGAATTGAGGCTGTTCTGAGGGCAAAGGTGTTCACGGGGGAGAGCAACTCAATATTAGGAAGGTGTTCTTAATGTTTTGTCCACAGTGTATTAGTAATGTACTGGCTTCTGTTCCCCAGTAAGGTTTGTGAATTTGTCTTGTGCAGATAAATGCAAGTGCTTCACGAAGAGGTCTCTGGAGGCTGTTTAAAAATTTATTAAGAGTCATGTTGTCCATGAAGCCGCTTCTTCTCGCTCTTTCTCTAATGGCAATCTTTAATCACGGAATCATACACAGACACACACTGTCCTCTTACTCATCCACACGCACACGCACACACTCACTTACACCCAAACATACACACAGTCGCGTGCACGCAAATGCATACGCATACTCACTCATGTACTCACACATACACACACACACACACACACACACACAATCTGGAGCGCACCCACAGGCAGGTACCTATAAGTAAAAGGGCCCACGCATCCCAGTGAGAGGCTGGAGCTGTCTAGATAGAAGAGAGAGATTGGACTTGCTGCGATCACATTTTCACAGCGCTGAAGCTGAGCTCCACTCTCTGAGGCATTAAATATGCATGAGGCTGTGCTGTATGAAACTGATACTAAACTGGAGGGCTGTCTCCTGTTCTGCTCACCAACAAATCTCCCTCGGCTCTAATCTGAAGCCGAGTGAGCAAAGAGGGGGGTACACAGTACACATTGCTCTTTGGTGCCCACGGACTGTGGTGCACGGTGGGGGTCTGTGTCCCGCAGTGCTGGCCTACCATGTTAACACACCAGGATAGCTAGCCAAGCCTTTTCCTTTCAAAGCGCACATAGAGGATGACTAATCCTAGAGATTACATGAACTGCTCGTCTCTCCTCTCTCCTCTTCATAGCATGTGTTCTGTACAAATGCAAATGTGTAAAAGTACAATCCTACTCTTCTTTGGAGTTTTGATGTGTGGGGATGGAGATGTGTTTGAATGTGTGTGTGTGTGCGCGCGCACGTACGAGTGTGTGTGTGTTTATGTGTCATTAAATTAATTGTGAGGAAAGATGCCCACAGCCTGAAACAGGTGATGATCCTCTGATGCATCTCTGAATGCACTGGCGCTTCTGTTTACCTCGCCCCTTTTCTCTCTCTTTCTTCTTCTCCTCTCTCTAGCTACTCTGCCCCAGAGGAGTCCAGGGGAAAAAGTGCGTACAACAACACTTTGAGAACCCCTCTCTCATCCCCCCTCGACTCTCTCTCCCCTCTCTCCCCTCTCTCCGAGCCGCCCATCCCCCCCACCCCCCCCCCCCCGACTCTCAAAAGACTAACCCTCCCCTCTCCCTCCTCTCCCCCACTCCCTTCTACCCCCTCTCTCTCTCCCCCCCCCTCTCCCCCCCCCCCCCCCCCCTCTCTCTCCCCTCCAGTGGTGCAGCACAGGGCTATTCTACAGGGAGGAAGTGATGGGAGGCGATGTGTGTGTGTGTTTGACAGCTCACAGTGATGCCCCGGTACAGCTGGGTTCAGTGTGTTTAGTAGGCTGTCAGTGTCCTCAGACACGTCTGCACGGCTAATTATATTAGCAGGGGAGGCTAGCCATTCAGACAGGCAGGAAAACTACTGACATTAGCAGGGGAGGCTAGCCATTCAGACAGGCAGGAAAATTACTGACATTAGCAGGGAGGCTAGCCATTCAGACAGGCAGGAAAACTACTGACATTAGCAGGGAGGCTAGCCATTCAGACAGGCAGGAGAACTATTGACATTAGCCATATCATTACAATTAGCCAGGAAGGTTAGCCATTCAGACAGGCAGGAAAGCAGAGGAAAGCAGGTCATGGGCAGAACAAATTAATCCATATTCAACACCTACAGGTGTTAATGCGAACCCTTCGGAACCCTTCTCCAATTCATCCACAGACTTTTCCTTGAATTCTGCATTTTCATGTTTCTCATGTGCTATTCAGTGTTGAAAGGCCTTACTGTTGATTCCATGTTGTAATTAATTTCAAACTACTAGCTGTTGAAATCATATACATATCTTCAACCTTGGGGTAGAATCAACACCTACCTGGTTACCAAATTCTGCTTTCATTATCCCCTCATATGCAGAGGGCTCAATATAGACGATTCCTACAGCAATGTAATGGAAATTAATGGGAAAGCTGTGAAATCCTCATCTCGGGTTGAAAAGGAGGCACAACACACTATTCCACCCACATTTAATCAGCAGCACACCTCTAGCATATTCCCACAAGAGGACAATTCATTTCAGAGCAAACCTCTGCACCTTCCCCCACCGCAAATCATTTCCAAAAGGAGGCTGGACACCAAGGACCCCTATTTGCATCCTACTGGATAATTTGCTCAGATACATTTTTTGAGGAGTACATTATTTTCCCCATACCCTCAAGCACTGTATGTCTGTGGCAGAGATGGACTATATTTAGGGTACTAGACAGATGAACAATACCACTAAGTGTGGAAGGATAGATGGACCGGGCTGTGGATGGATACTTCACTGTGTTTACATTTTTTACATTTTAGTCATTTAGCAGATGCTCTTATCCAGAGCGACTTACAGTTAGTGAGTGCATACATTTTCATACTGGCCCCCCGTGGGAATCGAACCCACAACCCTGGCGTTGCAAGCGCCATGCTCTACCAACTGAGCTACACGGGGCCCCACTCCCTTTAAGAGTGTGCTCTAATCTCAGCTCGTTACCTGTATAAAAGACACATGGGAGCCAGAAATCTTTCTGATTGAGAGGGGGCCAAATACTTATTTCCCTCATCAAAATGCAAATCAATTTACAACATCCTTGACATGCGTCCCCCTGGATTCCCCCATTCTTACTCTGTCCCTCACCGTTCAAACAAACCCACCATCAAAATTACAGACCGATCATTTCCCTGTCAGTGGGCAAACGTACAAAATCAGCAGGGGACCAAACACTTCTTTCCCTCACTGTAGGTGGTTCTTTTTGCTTTTGGAAAATGCATTCTGTATGCAAACACAAAAAGGCAACTGAAAAATATGCTTTACTATAAATTATCAATACAAAACCGTGAAATGACATAAATTTTTCACTCTAAAAAGAGTGTTCAATAAAGACCCTGGATTCTGACCCTAGAAAAGAAAGCAATCATCTTAACTCAAATGCTAAAGTGACACCTAAAAAAATGGTGTACCTGTAAAAGCTGTCTGTGAAACCTGTATATCTGTAAAACCACTGACTTGAATTACTTCAAAAAAGCTAGACCATTAACAAAGTGTAACTGCTTTGGCCAAAACCATTAAAACCCCTCTCTTGCATGACACATAGATGTTTGAGTCCTCCAACCCCTGTAGAGAGAGCCCTCCACCTTCACATGCCCCAAGTTCACAGCTCAGAGTTTATGTTGGGTCTGGGCAGCTCGCACTCCTTCTCAAAATTGCAGCCGTGCAGCAGCTCTCTGTAGGTCTCTCTGACCGTATCGTAGAGTGGAGCCTGGTGCTTTATATCGGGGAAGTTCTGAGGTGTCTCGTTGAGGAGGAACTGCAGCCGGAGGCCTTCGCTGCAGTCATACAGCACAAAGAGCAGGTTGGCTGCGTAAGGCACGATGCGGCTGGTGCGGAAGGTGCGGCCATGTTGCACGTCAAAGTTGTCAGCAGTCAGGGCCGTCTCGTCTCTGAAGAAGCCCATGAGGGCCAACAGGGGCAGGAGGGTCTCGGCATGGCCCACCTGGATGGTCACGGCCTCAGATACATGCCCAAACCTGATCTCATGAGCAGCCTGATCAAGACGATTGAACAGGTCATGAAAGAGAGTGCAACTGGACTTGCGGTTGATGTCATGACCATAGCCCCTCTTCCAGTACTGTTTCAGGTCATTCTTGTATTCCAGTACTTGGGCGTCAGTCTCATCAAACAGGTTGCACCAGGGGGAGTTCAAAGATTTGATGGCAAACTCATATGAGCACAACAAGAATGTAGCCTCCACCAGATGTGGTGTGATCCGATTGTATGGAACTTGCAGCTTGTCAGCCATCTTCATCTGCACTCTTTTCATCTCTGCTGAGGCCTTGAAGAGGTGGACCTCTTCCAGGGCAGTTTGGTTGTTCTCTACATCCTCAACAAATTTCTGGCAATGGTCAAAGAATCTCATCAACTCATCGTTGATTTTGTGGCTGGGTCCAACTTCGGTCACTTTCCAAAGGTTGAGCAGGCCCTCTTGGAATGCTACAATGCTGTCCACGCATCTGTGTTTAGAGCTAGTGATGAAACGGATACGGTGGGCTCTGAGGTTTTCCTCGGATATCAGAGACGGAAACAATGTTGCCAACCTGACAGCCAGATGCCTATGGTCATCTTGCCCCTTCTCCACAAGCTTGCCATCCATATCGTCAGTGTACCACATTTCCAACTTGGTTTTGATTTAATTCAGCCATTTATCAGTGTTCATTGCCTCGTTTCGAACAAGGTCGTAAAGCCATTGCATCCTTTTTATATTTTTGGTCGTTGGATATCGTGTACTATGCCGAATAATGGCGGTCACATGAATAGCCGTGCAATCGGTACATCCCGGTTTTAAAAATGATTTGTTTACCGAGAGGATGTCATTAATGAGATAGCGGTTAATCTCCTCATATCTGCCTTTCGTTCCAAAATAATTAGCAATCACAGGTATGTTTGAATTAACGTTAGCATTTGCAACTGAGCAGTATGAAAACCGTGTCAAAGCAAGACTAAATGTCGTGTTCATGGAGGAATTGTAATAAGGGTAGATATACAGTGCTATGAAAAAGTATTTGCCCCCTTTCTAATTTTCTCTACTTTTGCATATTTGTGATAATGAATGTTATCAGATCTTCAACCAAAACCTAATATTAGATAAAGGGAACATAAGTGAACAAATAACACAACAATTACATATTTATTTCATTTATTTCATAAACAAAGTTATGCAACACTCAATTCCCCTGTGTGAAAAAGTAATTGCCCACTTACACTCAATAACTGGTTTGCCACCTTTAGCTGCAATGACTCCAACCAAATGCTTCCTGTAGTTGTTGATCAGTCTCTCACATCGCTGTGGAGGAATTTTGGCCCACTCTTCCATGCAGAACTGCTTTAAATCAGTGACGTGTGGGTTTTCAAGCATGAACTGCTCGTTTCAAGTCCTGCCACAACATCTCAATTGGGATTAGATCTGGACTTTGACTAGGCCATTCCAAAACTTCCAATTTGTTGCTTTTTAGCAATTTTCATGTAGACTTGATTGTGTGTTTTGGATCATTGTCTTGCTGCATGACCCAGCTGTGCTTCAGCTTCAGCTCACACACGGATGGTCTGACATTCTCCTGTAGAATTCTCTGATACAGAGCAGAATTCATGGTTCCTTCTATTAAGGCAAGTCGTCCAGGTCCTGAGGCAGCAAAGCATCGCCAAACTATCACACCACCACCACCATGCTTGACCTTTGGTATGATGTTCTTACTGTGGAGGCAGTGTTTGGTTTTCGCCAGGCATAATGGGACCCATCTCGTCCAAAAAGTTGACTCAAGTTTGCCAAAAAGCATCTGGATGATCATCAAGACTCTTGGAAGAACGTTCTATGGACAGATTATTCAAAAGTATAACTTTTTGGACGACATGGTTCCAGTAATGCCTGGCGAAAACCAAACTCTGCATTCCACAGTAAGAACATCATACCAAAGGTCAAGCATTTTACATTTTACATTTACGTCATTTAGCAGACGCTCTTATCCAGAGCGACTTACAAATTGGTACATTCACCTTATAGCCAGTGGGATAACCACTTTACAATATGTTTTTTTATCTTTCTTTGGGGTGGGGTAAGGGGGGGTAGAAGGATTACTTTATCCTATCCCAGGTATTCCTTAAAGAGGTGGGGTTTTAAGTGTCTCCGGAAGGTGGTGAGTGACTCCGCTGTCCTGGCGTCATGAGGGAGCTTGTTCCACCATTGGGGTGCCAGAGCAGCGAACAGTTTTGACTGGGCTGAGCGGGAACTGTGCTTCCGCAGAGGTAGGGGGGCCAGCAGGCCAGATGTGGATGAACGCAATGCCCTCGTTTGGGTGTAGGGACTGATCAGAGCCTGAAGGTACGGAGGTGCCGTTCCCCTCACAGCTCCGTAGGCAAGCACCATGGTCTTGTAGCAGATGCGAGCTTCAACTGGAAGCCAGTGGAGTGTGCGGAGGAGCGGGGTGACGTGAGAGAACTTGGGAAGGTTGAACACCAGACGGGCTGCGGCATTCTGGATGAGTTGTAGGGGTTTAATGGCACAGGCAGGGAGCCCAGCCAACAGCGAGTTGCAGTAATCCAGACGGGAGATGACAAGTGCCTGGATTAGGACCTGTGCCGCTTCCTGTGTAAAGCAGGGTCATACTCTCCGAATGTTGTAGAGCATGAACCTACAGGATCGGGTCACCGCCTTGATGTTAGCGGAGAATGACAGGGTGTTGTCCAGGGTCACGCCAAGGCTCTTCGCACTCTGGGAGGAGGACACAACGGAGTTGTCAACCGTGATGGCGAGATCATGGAACGGGCAGTCCTTCCCCGGGAGGAAGAGCAGCTCCGTCTTGCCGAGGTTCAGCTTGAGGTGGTGATCCGTCATCCACACTGATATGTCTGCCAGACATGCAGAGATGCGATTCGCCACCTGGTTATCAGAAGGGGAAAAGAAGAAGATTAGTTGTGTGTCGTCTGCGTAGCAATGATAGGAGAGGCCATGTGAGGATATGACAGAGCCAAGTGACTTGGTGTATAGCGAGAATAGGAGAGGGCCTAGAACTGAGCCCTGGGGGACACCAGTGGTGAGAGCACGTAGTGCGGAGACAGATTCTCGCCACGCCACTTAGTAGGAGCGACCGGTCAGGTAGGACGCAATCCAAGAGTGAGCTGCGCCGGAGATGCCCAACTCGGAGAGGGTGGAGAGGAGGATCTGATGGTTCACAGTATCAAAGGCAGCAGAAAGGTCTAGAAGGACAAGAGCAGAGGAGAGAGAGTTAGCTTTAGCAGTGTGGAGAGCCTCCATGACACAGAGAAGAGCAGTCTCAGTTGAATGACCAGTCTTGAAACCTGACTGGTTTGGATCAAGAAGGTCATTCTGAGAGAGATAGCAAGAGAGTTGGCTAAAGACGGCACGCTCAAGAGTTTTGGAGAGAAAAGAAAGAAGGGATACTGGTCTGTAGTTGTTGACATCGGAGGGATCGAGTGTTGGTTTTTTGAGAAGAGGTGCAACTCTCGCTCTCTTGAAGGCGGAAGGGACATAGCCAGCGGTCAAGGATGAGTTGATGAGCGAGGTGAGGTAAGGGAGAAGGTCACCGGAGATGGTCTGGAGAAGAGAGGAGGGGATAGGGTCAAGCGGGCAGGTTGTTGGGCGGCCGGCCATCACAAGTCGTAAGATTTCATCTGGAGAGAGAGGGGAGAAAGAAGTCAAAGGATAGGGTAGGGCAGTGTGAGCAGGACCAGCAGTGTCATTTGACTTAACATACGAGGATCGGATGTCGTCAACCTTCTTTTCAAAATGGTTGATGAAGTCATCCACAGAGAGGGAGGGGGGGGGAGGATTCAGCAGGGAGGAGAAGGTGGCAACGAGCTTCCTAGGGTTAAGAGTGGTAGAAAGTGGCTTTAGCAGCAGAAACAGAGGAAGAAAATGTAGAGAGGAGGGAGTGAAAAGATGCCAGGTCCGCAGGGAGTCTAGTTTTCCTCCATTTCCGCTCGGCTGCCCGGAGCCCTGTTATGTGAGCTCGCAATGAGTCATCAAGCCACGGAGCAGGAGGGGAGGACCGAGCCGGCCGGGAGGATAGGGGTCAAAGGATGCAGAAAGGGAGGAGAGGAGGGTTGAGGAGGCAGAATCAGGAGATTGGAGGGAGAAGGATTGAGCAGAGGGAAGAGATGATAGGATGGAAGAGGAGAGAGTAGCGGGAGAGAGAGAGCGAAGGTTGCGACGGCGCATTACCATCTGAGTAGGGGCAGAGTGTGTAGTGTTGGAGGAGAGCGAGAGAGAAAAGGATACAAAGTAGTGGTCGGAGACATGGAGGGGAGTTGCAGTGAGATTAGTAGAAGAACAGCATCTAGTAAAGATGAGGTCAAGCGTATTGCCTGCCTTGTGAGTAGGGGGGGACGGTGAGAGGGTGAGGTCAAAAGAGGAGAGGAGTGGAAAGAAGGAGGCAGAGAGAAATTAGTCAAAGGTAGACGTAGGGAGGTTAAATCATTGATGAACTCTCCAAGGGAACCTGGAGGGCGATAAATGATAAGGATGTTAAGCTTGAATGGGCTAGTGACTGTGACAGCATGGAATTCAAATGAGGAGATAGACAGATGGGTCAGGGGAAAAAGAGAGAATGTCCACGTTAACTAGTCACCCATGTCCCGAATTCCCTTGAATGACTCTGGCTACCAGTATGTAAAAACATAACACAAATGCAGGTTATAACTTACCCTTAGCAGCTACTGTTAGCTAGCCAAGTGCAACGCTAGCCACTGAATCGATTCAGCCAGTTCGCGTCTGTTCGCTAGGTCGTTCCAGCTATTGTTTAGTAGCTATCCAGGTAGCAACAAGCTAGCTACATTTCGAGCACAGTAGCTACTTACTACCTAACGTTAACGCTTCAGACAATGAGGTTAGAAAAACAGCTGAATGGTAAGCATTATTGTATGTAATTATTGTAGGCAGATAGCTGGCGTAATTACAGGTACACTCAAGCGTGAAACAACTATCCACAGTTGCTAATAGTTACCAGTAGCTACCCGCTAGCTAGTCCAGGTAGTGGGTTAGCTAGCCTCGTGCTTCACCGGGCTCAGCCGAATACAATACCTAAAATAATTACATACAATAACCCACGATAACTACCTACAACACCTAACTACAATCTAACTACATCGTTTAAGCTTTACTCGACACCATATAAGCCATATAAGCCAAGCTTACCTCCCGCCAGAGAGAGACACAACCTCACCCGACGACGACGACAACCACAGAATATTAACTTTTTTTAAATTTTTTTATTAATTTTTGTTGGTGGTGGTGTGATGGTTTGGGGATGCTTTACTGCCTCAGGACCTGGACGACTTGCCTTAATAGATGGAACCATGAATTCTGCTCTCTATCAGAGAATTCTACAGGAGAATGTCAGACCATCTGTCTGTGAGCTGAAGCTGAAGCACAGCTGGGTCATGCAGCAAGACAATGATCCAAAACACACAATCAAGTCTACATGAAAATTGCTAAAAAGCAACAAATTGGAAGTTTTGGAATGGCCTAGTCAAAGTCCAGACCTAATCCCAATTGAGATGTTGTGGCAGAACTTGAAACGAGCAGTTCATGCTTGAAAACCCACACGTCACTGAGTTAAAGCAGTTCTGCATGGAAGAGTG